ACCTCACGCAGCCTTCCAACTGGCAAGGCAAGGAACCGCGTGAGGACAGGCTCGCGGACAATGGAACAGACATCCCCAGCATTTCTCTGAGACGTGAGACAGAAAGCAACCCACTCCCGCTCACAGGGCAGAAGAGAAGCAACTCTCAGAAAGCAAATCAAGTGGCAGGCACACCAGCCACAGAAAGATCGTGAGCATCTACTTTGTGCTCAGCCATTCCTCCAGAAAACGCCACAGTGTAGGGAGGGCCAGGCCAGTTTAACCGACAAGGGAACTGCGGCTCTGGCGAGACCCAAGCTCATTCCCGGCGAGACTGGAATATGAGTTCAGGCCAAGAATGGGCCCTTCACCGTGACATGGCTCAGCCTCTCGAGTTTTGAGTGTGTTTGGTTTGAAATATATTATATTGAAATGAATAAGAAATGACCTGTTATAACATTCAATTACTAACATGACTTTGTCCCCCGCCCAGCAAGATAAACTAGTGGGCTAACAATCAGGTCCCGCCCCTGAAGGAGAGTCTCACAGGCACTGTGATCCATTTGGGACCACTTCTTGCTGTTGAAAATAAGCTCATCAGCACACAGGAGAGGAGCCGCCCTCCCACAATCCAGTGCAGGTGATGCACTGTGGCAAAGGGTTGGGGCAACCAGGGCGACCGGGGAACTTGGCCTGGGAAGGCTGACTGGGAAGAGAAGCTCTGCCATCCCCGCCAGGCAAGAATGAGGTTTTCTCCGGCAAGGGCAAGCAGAAGGTGAGGACAGAGAACACAAAGACAGTTAAGCCTATCAACGGTCCGAGCGTCCCTTTACCGCGATTCCTGGGAAATAATTATTCCTATCAGTGGCCATCTCATACAGGGCATTTAAGAGAGTGGGTTCATTAAAGAGAGTCAGGATCACAAACTCATTTAAGTCTCCTTGAACCTGTTTAATCAAAATGATTTTCTGCTCTTCTCTATTACAAGCTGAGTTTCTGTGGTGACAGATTAATGACTGATCTGCTAGGCCATACCACCTCTCTTGTCACCCACCACTCCGACTGAGCCGGCCACCATTCATCCCATCAATAAGCCCCACTTGCCCTTGAAACTCATTATAGCTGAGCTGTTGGGATCAGCTGACAGATCAGATGCTCCCTGACACCCCAGTTCTGCTGTGGAGACCACCAAACCCCACAGAGTGTGGGGGGGACAGGATGTGGCTGGCCCTCAGGGTCTCATTAGAGTTACAAACTCAGGTCACTCTGGAGTAAGATAAATGCCAAAGCAGCACTTCTGATTCTTTGGGCGGGCTACAGGTAATTATCCTGGAGTTAAATGTCAGGGCTAGTTTCGTGTGTGCAAAAGAAAGAAAATGTCATGTTTGGTGTAAGCAACAATATTATTTTAATTGAATCAGAAGCTCATTATTAGCAGAAGATAAGCCCTGATGTGACCCCTACAGTAAGGTGTGTCCACTCGGCTTCCCATTCCATTGTACTGTCTCGGCCCAGGGTTCCTCACTGGTCGCTCTGCACACAAGTCAGGGAAGACCTGCAATGTGCTATCGTGGAGGCAGATGCCCAAACCCACTCCACTGCTGACTGGCTGCTGTGCACAGTGAGAGGCTGGAATCAGGCTGCCCGGTTCTGGTCCAGGCTCCTCTGCAGCCCAGCTCTGCTAACTCTGGGCAGGGGACTCAGCCTCCTGGTAAATCTGGGATAATAACAGTATCTCTCTCCTTGGGTTGTTGTGATTTAAAAGAGATTATATACATATATATATATATGTATATATATATAGTACCTTAAACAATGTCCTGCACACTAAGTGCTTCATTAAAGTTAGATATTCTCTATTTCTGCAATGTTTTAATTTTTAATTACAATCAGCAGGTATTACCTTTATGAGAACAGCTTATTTAAGAAGAGAAAACATAAGAAACGTGTGACAGTGTAAGAGAAAAGGTTTCCTCCAGCAGACAAGAAGTTAGTACCTGAGTAAGAGATCATGTTATTTCTCTTGCTCGCCCTTAGAGCCCCCAGCATGTGGTAGACAGTCAAATATTTGTTAAAATGAATGAATATCCAAATGAGTGTAGGAATAAACCAAGGGGAATTTGCCCATGGAAATGGTTATGGAAGCCAAATAAGACAAATTGGGAGATGGCTGTGGCTTCTTGCCCCTTAACTTCAAACCACAGTGAAGTTAACGGGCAGGGGGCAAGGAGCACACTGCCAGCCATCATTTCTGTGTCGAAGTTCACACACTCGCACACCCATGGGTGTCACCAGCTCCCTAAAGGGCACCCATAGTTTTCAGCTTCACAAGTTCAAAAATTACTTCCAAATATCCTTCCCCCAAGGGCAAAAAAAGGATGAGTCATGGAAAGGCAAGATGTTTTCTTTCACAATGACATTCAAAAACTGACAAGCATCGTACCAATAATCTCAGGGCAGTATTCCAAAGGCATCGGTGGCGTCAGCAAAACAACTCAAACAGCAGCAGAGAAGCTGAGCTTCGTCAACCTCGGGCAAGGCCTGGCTCAGTGAAAGTATCTGACTGGATGGGCCACTGCACTGGCTGAGCTGTGTCCCTTGTCCACTGAGCAGCTGGTTTCTAGGGGAAGCAACCTTTCACTCCCTGGTCCCAGGGGACTGAAGCTGTGTGGTTATTCCAAGCAAATGGTCCAAATGAAGACATTGGACTTGACCTAAAAGATTATCTAGTGTAAGTTTCACAACACTTTAAAGAGGTTAATGGCATTAAATTATGCCTGATCCATGGCTAGCATCAGAGGACCCCACAAAGCATATAAAATGTTGATGAATGAAGATATGTGAGACTTTTTAAACATTTTAGATGTTTTAATGTTACATTGAATTAAATTATCATTTTAAAAAATCTATGCTGCTTAAAACATTAGTTTCACACATCAAATTACTCCAGAAACAAAAAAGCAGCACATTTGAACAGAGAAGCTTTTCTCTTTCTGTTATGCTGTGGACATTTTTATAATATGTAAGACGTTATTCCCTAAACAAACTAAAAATGCGTGTTTAGAGTATGGATTTCCAGCACTCATCCCAGAAACGTGGAATCGGAATCTCCGGGGGAGAAGCTGGTGCTGGAACTGAGCAAGCACCCCAGAATGAGCTTCAGGATAAGTCAGGGCTGTAAAACACTGATCCAAGGATAAGAAATACCACCATTTTCAAGAAAGACAGGAAATGAAGAAAACCCCAATTTTTAAAAATTTAAAGATAAATGTGAAATGAGAATAATGCCATGCTTGTGGTACACAGAGACTATGAACCCCTGAAGAGGCACAGAAGCACAGTAAACGTCCCCACGTCGCTCCGGCCGCAGCTGCTCTCGATCTGACCCAGCTGCCACGGGAAGCCGTCCGCAAAAGGACCTCTCCTCCTCCACCCCTGGCTCAGCCTCCCGTCTCTAGCCAAGTTAAGCATCTGCCCCATTCCTCAATTCTATCTAAAATGTAATGATAAAAGAAACAAACAAAAATGATTTCTACTCTACGTGAGTCCGTGAATGGAAGCTCCATTGGGGCATCTTTGGGTGATTTGGGCACCTTTTCCAGCCACAGGCAAAGATGGTCAGTGCAGGGCCCCCAGAGCTGCACAGAAGGGGCTGACAGAGGTTAGCAGGGCAGGGATCCCATGGGCAGGTGAGGGGAGCAAGAAGAATATCCGCTGCAAAATTAAGACTCCCAAATAACTGTGGAGGTCACTGAAAGTGTTCGAAAGCCCGCTTCAAACAGAAACAGCCCACAGTCAACTAGGGGAAGTGGGGAAAGGAACAGAAAAAGGGGAGGGAAGTGAGCCCCCACTCAAGGCTATGGGCGCACCTGTTCCTCTAGACTGGGACCTGGAGAGGTGCTCTTTGCAAAGTACAGGAAAACATCTGGATTCACTGGAATCCTCAGACTCTCCCCCTGCGAGGGATGGGGACACCCAGAACAGGGCTGAGAGGAATCCAGTGAGAGAGGGTGACTCCTGCACATCTCCCACCTTCAAGAGCCCTGGGCTTGTTGACAAGAACAACAGAGGCTCCTGAGTTTGGGTCTCTCCCAAGAGCAGGCATTCCCAATGTTTGGTAACATAAAACTCCTTTTCCAGTCACCCACAGGCACCAGGCCCCAGCCACCCCGGGCAGCCTGTAGAAGAGCTGGCAGCAGCCCCCACAGCACAGAGGGGATGCCATCCGCTGGAAGGACTGTGCCAGGTGCCTCTTGCCCCTGCATCCCCTGGGGCACACCTGGGGAGCAGCAGCCAGCCTCAGGGCCAAAGCAGGCAGCAGATGGGCCTCTGGGTGCCCAGAAATAACCTGCTCACCCAGAGGAGCAATCCTGGGCTACCCAGGCTCCTCTTCAGGGCAGGGGACCAATGCCATGAGCCCCCTGCCCTTTCCCTTCCCCTAATGTTGTCAGAGGTCAAAATCTCCACATTCCCCTTCCCCCACCTTTTTATCAGGCCACTACCCTGTCCCTCCAAACACCTGGAACACTTGGAACACCTGACTCTTTAACAAATGAGCTGAGTGCACCCTAAACCTAAGGTCCGCAGCAGAGAATCTGGCACACCCTAGAGATGGCTCAAATCACTGCTGCCCCGGGGAAGTTCTCTGGGGGGCTCAGCAAAGTAAACCACCAACGTCAGGAGAATTCAGAAGCTCAGGGAGCCCCTCTCTCTGCAGCTGCTTACTGTTCACAGCATGTTTAGTTCTGTCACCACCGCCACCACCCCCCCCCCACCACCCCAGTCCTACAAATACACACACCTGGACCACAGGTACCAGGTAAGGAGAATCAAGCCTTCGAAGTTCTCTTTAAAGTTATTCTTAGGCATGCCGCAGCCCATGGCCCTGGGACCCCCCAAGCAGCCCTGGGAGGTCTGCACCAGTTCCACCTCCGCGCCCTCCCCGCTCCCGCCACTTCAGAGACCCCGGTTCACAGAGGCTCCCCTCACCCCCGCCCGCAGGGCAGCTTAGTGGTACTCACGTCTCGAAAGCGGTTCCAGTACTTGTCGCGGTCGTACTGGGAGACGGTGCTCAGCCACTGGTCATTGTCCAGGAAATTGCCGTTGGGCCCCGCGCCTCCCGCGAGCGCTTCCAGGTGCCGGCTCTCAACCTGGAGGACGCACCACGCCGCGGCGGCCGCAGCCAGCACCGCGATCGCCGGCATCTGCGGGGCGGGGGTGCGCGGCGCCGTGAGCGGGGAGCCGGCGGCCGCTAGCCGTTTGCCGACCGGAGCGCCGCGCGCAGCCCTGGTGGCCCCGCTGCAGGGGCACCCCTTGCACACCTGGGGCGCCTGTCGCGGATCTAGAGACCCAGGGACCTCTCTCATGAATGGCGGCAGGGATAGCACTCAGTCTCGAAGGAAGAGGCTGCGTCACAAATGAGGGGCTGCTGTCAACTAAAAAAGACCCCTGTCAGCTCTTCTCTGGGTGCCCACAACCCCGCTACTCTCACGCGGGAGGCTTCAGGACCCCTCCGCAAAAACGCGGAGCCTCGGCTCCACAAACCGCACTACCACAGACGGCGCCCGGGGCTCCGAGCAGGATGTCCAGGCTCGGGCAGGATGGGGCGCGGCAGAGGGTTCCTGCAGCTGGGAGGGTCTCTCTTCGCCCACCCGGCCGCTTAGGCGTGAGGGGCGCGCGGAGGTACCCCAGGCCCCGGACCCTGCCAGCCCCTAGGTGGTCGCGGGGAGGTCCCAACTACACCAAGTTGGGGCGCGGGGTTCTGCGGGCACGTACCTTAGGGGCCGGACCGGGTCCCCGCGTCCGAGTTGCCTGAGCTCCTGCGGTGCGGTCGCGGAGAAAGCTGACGGGCCTCTCACTGACCAGCGCTCCTGCCACCCGCCGCCTCGCGTCCAGCCGCTTTGTGAGCCCGCGGCGCTCTGGCTCCGCTCGAGCTCAGGCTCGCTCGGGCGCGGCGTCCGCTGGCGGAGGGGCCCAGGCGCGCGAGCCGAGGCCTCTGGCGACCCCTGGCGGCCACACGCAGCAGTGCCGCCTGACCCGCGTACCTGCCGCCCCTGGTCCAGCACAGGCCGGGAGGATGTGCTAGTCCACATCTTTACTGCAGGACTGAAACAAGCTTTCTCAGGCCACACTGGTGAGAGAAACTGAGGGGATGGGGGACATAAGGCCAAGAAGCTGACCAACACTAAGGCCTTCTCAAAAGGACCATAGTAGGGCCACCCGAATCAGAATCGCCTTAGTTGGGGGGAAAAGGGGGCTCCTTAAAATGGGGATTCCTGACTCACTCCTCAGGCTTGCTGAATAAGCATTCCTTAGGAGGGTCTCCCTGAGGAGAGTACATTTCTTCACTGACCATCCCAGGTCATGCACGCACCCACCCGCTCCTCTGCACTCCATGCTCCGTACCATGCCCACGGCTTTCCGTCCCTAAGACAGCCCTCCTGGCCTCCGTTTCTATCATTTCTACATCCTCTGTCCCCACATTGGCCCTGTGGGTGTGCCTCAGTGTTCTGCACAGAAGCCCTTGTCTGCTGAACTGGCCCCAGCATCAGCCTGCTGGGTTTTCCTAAAGGGGAGGGCAGGGCATTGGGGGGGAACTAGACCTGGCTTCAGAGACAGGACACAGAAACAGGAGGCCAGCCTGACCCTCTGTGCCCCATTCACCTTCCAGATTCTCAGCCACGCCACGCCCAGTGGAATAGGGCTGGAAGGAAATTAATGCAACCTCCCTGTCTGCATACAGGTGACACTCACCTGCTGCCTTCCTCTTGTACAACCATACCACATTCCTCAGACACCTGAGAGCTCTTTTAGAACAAATCTGATGCACTCACTCCTCTCTCCTCGGCACACACTTAACAGTCTTTGTGTTGCTTTCCCAATAAAGACCAAACTGCTGGGAGGAGTACCCAGACCCTGCACACGGGCCCCTGCCTGCTTCCTCCGCTGCCTCTCCTGCCACTCTCTCCTCATTCCCTGACTTTCTGGGCAGGCTGGCCTTGGTGTAAACCTCTGCGGAGGTGGGCACCCTCTGGCACTGGGCATCCACTTCTGCCGAGCCACTGCCCACACCGGCCCCCAACGCAGGCCACATTAGTTCCCCCCAGCTCATTCATTGGATCTCTTCAGAGGACATCTTGTGGAGCCTGTGGACCCGGCCAGGACCCTAGCAACACCCTCCTTGAGAACACAATGCTTCTCCAGCTATAAGCTCACTGCCCTTGCAATCATTCCACATCTCTGCTCTGCACAGAGCTGGAGCTCTGTGAGGACAGGGGCCATGTCTGGCTTGTTCACTGCCACTCCCGGTGCCCAGCTCAAGCTCCTGACACACAGCAAGTCTTCAGAAAATATTTCATGAATGAATGAATGAATGAGTAGCACTCAATCATGGTCTGAAACCACAGCCAACATGCCCCAACATGCGTGATGCAGTCTGGTGTAAGTTGTACTACAAATAATTTGGTTGTGTATATTTTAATGTATAGAATTTGGATTTTTTTTAAGTAGCAGATGCTTACCCCAACATTACTCTGATTTACATTCCCAGAAGCATTCTTGAAAGGGAGACAAAGGAGCAGAGTCATAGCTACATATTGGGAACTACATGTCATCCACAGTTTATTTTATCATGGGAGAATTTTAGGCACTTCAGTGTCATGTTCTGGGCATATCACAGCAGGAGAGAGGTTTAGAAATGATAGAGAGAGTGTTTTTTACTTTCATAAAAACCCAAGGAAGCAGCTACTTCCCCCATTTTTCTGCCCAGTTTGATGACAAAACTCCAGACAATTGTCCCCAGATGTCATTTCGACTTCCTCAGCTCCACTTCAGCCTTCCGCCCATTCCAATCTGCCTTTCTTCATCACAGACTAACTGAAGTGACTCGTCACCTTCAGCAACCTCCTCCCAGTCTCCACCCTAAATGGGCAGCCCTCACTCCTCCCCTGCTTGGCCTCTGAGCAGTTAGGCCCCGAGACACCCTACTGCTCATTCCCAGGCACATACCAGAGCTTCTCGGGCTCAGGCCTCGGCCCTCCCATCCAGTCCCCTGCTGAGAGTCTCTAGGTCTATTTCCAGCCCAGAGTGGCTGATGACTTCCAGCCATACATCCACCTTCACACTTGACATCTCCTCCACATGTCCTGTGGGCATGTCTAACTTTACCAGGTCAAAACAGAGGTCTAGGTTTCCCTCCAGAAACCTGTGCTCTGAGTCATCCCTACTCCAGTAAATGCATCTCCATCCGTGTGGCTGCAAAAGCCTGAAGCCTGAGTCATTTTCAATCCCTCCATTTCCCTCACCCCTCACTTCCAGTCTGTCAGCAGGCTGATCCATTCCACTTCCAAGTCCTCCAGCCCATCCGCTTCACTCTGCCTCCAGGGGCACCACCAGCCACTTGGTGGTCACGTCTCACCCGGAGGGCTGCAGTGGCTTCTTGGTGAGTTTCCTGGATTCTTTCCTTTCCTTTCCAAGCCACTAACCACTCAGGGGTCAGAGTAGTCTTTTTAAAACAAAAACCACCCACTTGCATTAAACCACTCACTGGCTTCCCATGACTCTAAAACAAAAATCCAGACTCCTCCCCATGCCTGGCAAAGCCCCACACCATCTGGTCCCTCCTGTCCCTTTCCCTCCCTGGACTCTAGCCACTCCTTGTCACGGTTATGCATGCAGGCCAGGCGTGTTCTCACCTTAGCTCCTCCCTCCGACTGGGCCTCTGCCCGGAGTGGCCCTCTTGCTGCTCTTCACAGGTTAGCTCCTTCTTAGCCACCAGATCTCAGCTCCAACCACACCACCTCACTGAAGCCCTCCCTCCTCACCCTCCCATCCCAGGTGGGCCCTCCCCATTCCAGCCGCTTCTCTGCTAGATGCTGGCCCCTGGCTGTTCTCCTAAGAGTGCTCTGTTCTTTCGTCTCTCTGTTTCCCAATGTGAATATGAATTCCAGGAGGGCAAATATATTGTCTTTTTTACTGTTGTAGCTCCAGGCTTATCTCAGAGCCTGGCATTCAATGGGCACTCAATAAGTATTTATCCGGTGACTGAATGAATGAATGCAGCAAATTCCATAACCCTTAATGCATCCCAAAGTTTGAAAACTGTCTGGAGAACTTCCCTCTCATGGCTCTTAAGTCCCTCATTCTACAGAGCCAAGTTGTGCTGTTTTGACAGTGCCTGTCCCCATTTTAATCAGAGGGCATCTGCTCTTGGCCAAGCTCCAACCTCAAGACGGGCATCTTCCCTGTAACCACCTACGGGGTGGAAAGAGCAGCCAGAACACCACTGGCAGGTGTGAGGGAGCTGGGTCTGGCCAGAGCAGAGAGAGGACGTAACCTTGGAACAGGGGCAAGGAGGCTGGAAGCTGGAGACCTGCCGTGAACTCAGCCAGCACTTGCAGGGACAAATGCCAGATTTATTCAGCTGCGGGAAGCACTCGGGACCAAGATCAATACTGAGCCTTGGGGCTGTATTTCTGCTTTTCAGTGGCTTGCGCAGAACTATAATAACTCCTTGTTTTAACACAGTTCTTATTTCCAAAGAGCCCCACATGTTTTATTTTTGGTTTAATAGACCCTCCCACATGAACTACTGGGTAGTGTGAAGCAGACATAACTGCCACATAACTGTTTTATGTGGAGCACAGGTTGGGTGAATTGCTGAAGGTCACAGAAAGAGAAAAGGATGAATCTAGTCATGGGAGTTTGGGGTGCAGCCCCCACTTCAGGATGCTGTGCTGGCCAGAGCGCAATTCACCCATGGGGCTCCATCTGACAAAGGGGTGCCTATAAGACTTACCTTGTCACCAACCCAGGTTTGTTTTAGCTGCAAACTCACATAGCTCCTGCTATGTGGCCTCTCCATTTGGCTCTCTCGCTGGCACTTTGAATTCAGTGTGTCCAAAACTGAACGTTTGAGCTGCATCCTTCAGCCAAACCTGCTCGCCTTCTCCTGTCCCCACCTCAGGAAAACTGCCACCACCACCACCCCAAATGCTGGTGTCATTCTGACTGTCTTCTCAGTCCCCACTTTCAGTGAATCACCAACACGTCAGCACTATCTTTGCGTACTTCCAGTTCCACTCACCCTTCCCCGCCTAGAGTGCACTTCCCTGCACCTTCCACCTGCACTTCACAAAGCCCCTTACGGGGGTTTCTGTTTCTGGGCTGGCCACTCATTCTCCACACAGGTGCCAGAGTGGTCCTCCCTCAGTACAAACATGATCCCTTCTCTTTCCTCCTGTCCTGCACCCTCAGGATAAAGAGCAGGCACCTCCCCGTGACGACTGTGCACCCTGCCATGCCCAGGGGCTGCCAGCCACCACTGTCCCACACACCCTTCGCTGTCCCCCCTGACCATCTCCACCCAGCCTCCTCCATCTCATGGCCTTTTGAGAGGGGGCTCCCTCTCATCTGACACTCTCCTCCTTCCCTGCCCTTCTTCTGGCCAACCCCCACTCGCTCTTCAGGTACCAGCTTCACTCCAAGTCCTCAGACAGGGCTCTCCTGACCCTGACAGCCTCGTGGCACTCATCACAGGTGTACACTATCCATCTACCACTAGACATTCAGGGGGACAATGGCAGGGTCCAGGTATGTGTCTGTCCCGTTTGCTGCTGAACCCACAGTGCTTTAAAAGCACTGCATGCATAATAGATGCACAATAAATATCAACTGAGTCGGTGAATGCTCATGGAGTAATGTATTTAAAAGTTCCTTCCCTTCTTAGAAGCAAAGAAGCTCCCAGGTCTATGCTGGTATCTTAACCTCAAAACACTCTGTGGATGGAAGGTGGGATGGCATGATCTCTCCACTCCCAGGCTATTCTGCAGGTTTGAGGCTGATGTTGCAACATATCCCGGCCCCAAGAGGAGGAAAATGAAATCGATGCATTTCTTGACACCATTGAAAACAGCTC